TAGCCTGTGCGGGTCACGCCCTCGGGGAGGCGCTCTTCGTCGGTGTCGTACTGGGAGAAGCGGGACATGGCGGGAGGGTGATGGATCTGAAGAGGTGAAAGAGGGGGTTGCCAGTAAGTCTTGAAGATAAGGAAGCTAGATACCAGACAGGGTCTGCTTGTGGCTTAGGTACGATGGAGATGCTGAGGCCAACATATTGACGCCCGCCATGCTTATTACTGACCGAGAGCAAGCACGCAGCACAGCCCCCTGGATCGTTTCAGAGGGGGAGACTCTTACGTCACCCGCCGTGAGACCCACTGAGCCAGCACGTGACACACCCAACAAGCTATGGCCACTGAGCCAGCACGTGACACACCCAACAAGCTATGGCCACTGAGCCAGCACGTGACACACCCAACAAGCTATGGCCACTGAGCCAGCACGTGACACACCCAACAAGCTATGGCCACTGAGCCAGCACGTGCCACATCCAACAAGCTATGGCCGCTCGGAGCCAATCCAGCAGACCAACAAGCTCCTCCAAACATCGTGGTCCCAAGGACCATCAGTGATAGCAGAGTGAACCGGTTGTGACAAGGCTCGAGAACGGCCAGAAATGGTACCGTCTGTCTCTTGAAACTTTACTCGTCCGCCTCCGCACCCATTGTCTCGTTGTGGCTTTTTTTCTCCGTCAGCTTATCGTGTCACTGCCACGTCAGTCGCGCCAATTTGGTATGCAGACCGTCGGGGAGGAGCCAGCCCCAGTCTCAGCCCCAACCGACAGATATAAAGCAGGACCACTGCCGATTTTGCTGTCGACATGTCCACCAAAGCGAGAGGAAAAGCCCGCTATGGCTGAGAGAGTGACATACGACTGGAAGCTCACCTCGCGCTCCGTCTCCTTACCGTTTCGCCTGTTTGGCAAGCGATTCTCGGCTGGGGTTTGGGTTCGACGAACAGAGGACAAGGTGGTACCGCCGCAGTCTTCCCTTCTAGATGCCAGTACCAGTGTCTTCATCTTCTGATCCGGGCCGATCATCTGACTTGCGTAGGTCCGCGATGCACGCAAATACGAGTACCAGCCCATCCCCGAGGGACGCTGCATCCGCGTCCTCAAGCTCCATGCTGGGGTCGGGAATGAGCCCCTGTATGGCACTCTCTCCAATTTGGCTCTAATAGACGACGCCGAATATGAAGCACTCTCCTACGTCTGGGGCGCCAATCTAGACGCCAACATCATCTTCCTCCAGGATAACCGAATTCTGAGCCTGGGCGGAAACCTCGCCGATGCGCTGTACTCGCTGCGACACAAGAAGAAGGACAGAGTCCTCTGGATTGATGCCTTGTGTATCGATCAAGAGAATCTAGAGGAGAAGTCGAGCCAGATTCCCCTCATGGCTGAAATCTATGCCATGGCCAGCTCAGTCGTCGTCTGGCTCGGCAAGCCGACGGCGCACTCGCAAACCGGCTTGGATATTCTCGCGTTTCTCGCCGGCAGCGACAAGTTCGACGACAATGCGCCCTGGAACCGCATGGAGATCCAAGACGTCATCGCCGCAATCAGGGATATCATTGACCGGCACTACTTCCAGCGTCTCTGGGTCGTGCAAGAGGCCGCTCTCGCTCAGCGTGTCGCGTTGAACGCCGGACACCTGATGTTCGAGTGGACGGGCGGTTTGGCTACGCGCAGATTCCTGGCGCGCATCAAGCTGGCAGAGCTGTCGCCCACCTGGCAAAAGTCGGATCTGAAGGAAATTGATTTCCGACCGCTGCGCGAGTTGCTGGAGCAGAGTCTCGCGGCCGAGTCGAGGCGCAACGGCCGCGTCGAGCTCCCTTCGCTGCTGGATGTTGCGCACTCGATCCGCAACAGGCAGGTGACGGACCATCGCGATCGCATTTATGGTGTTATGAGCCTGGTCACGCCGGCTCAAGTGGCGGGCTTTGTGCCGGATTACACAAAGTCTTGGGAAGAGACATACCTACAATTCTACGACTTGGTCGAGAGACAAGTCTTGGAGGATCCAACAATCGAACTACAGGATGTTCTGAAGCATGAACAAGGCGGGTCGGCCTCGGCCTAGACTTCAAGGTTTCATTCATTACCACCAGTTCTTTGATGCGTTCAAACAGCCGTCAAGGCATGCCCGAGAATGACGAGGCAGTTTCAGCCATTTGCCGAACGAGCGATCATGTTAGCCTATTCAGCGTTTCTTTCGAAATACTACCTGGCCCTACGCAGTTTCAACTATCTCGATGTCCGTAAAGTCGGCCGGGTCCAGAGCCGGCTCGCTCTTCCCGAACGCGTAAATACCAAACATGACTCCTGAGAACGCACATCCTACGGGAGGTGCAATCGTCAGAGCCTCTGACGTGCATGACACACTGGTTCCATCATCTCCCGACGAAAACGATAACGTGTAGTCTTTGGGCCTTGCCTCGATCGACAGATGTATCGGCTTCGAGGTGTCGAGCCTCTTGCCAGTGTCCAGCAGGGGATATGTTGTTTTGAGATCACCGTTCTTGCCTGTCGGCTCCCGAGCCACGATTGTTTGGACCAGGCCACCGCCATTAGGATTCGCAACCGCCGCAATGCCGATAGATGCGTGCGAGTATTGATTCCACCATAATGTAACGCCCGATTCATATCCCAGCCTGCTTGGCTGGAAGGAGATGTTGACGCGGAACGTCTCGTTGAAGGATGTCTGCTTTCTCAACAAGAGCGCTGGCGATTCGGGACTTGTGAGCTCGTAGCAGTTTCCGTGGAGTCGAAGATATCCAGGACGCTCCGTCAACGAGTAACACTGCTTGATCGGTGTATCTGTACAGAGTCAGTTGGTCCAAGGCCCCCTTTTCTGGAGAGGCGCTTACTCTTGTGGTACCATCCCAGTTCCAGATCAGGCCTCGACAGATCAGCCTTCCACTTGATCCCGCTCTCATCAGCCACAGCCTTCTTCTCAACGGAATCTCTGCCGACAGTCTGTAGAGATACGTTGCGGCCGAGGTTGAAGACAGGCCAATCATCCTCCCAATCGACCCGAACCATGAACGTCTCCCTGCCAAGCTGCGGTTCCAGCCACTCCGCACCGTTCTTTACAGGTCGCACACCAAGCAAAACACCCCACCAGTTACCCTTGTCGTCCTCAAATATGTCGGCGTGTCCCGTCCTCTGCACCTCCTCGTCCGGGCCGTTGTACCACAGAGCCTTGCCCTGGCCCTCCCAGGGCCCATAAGGCCCCTCCTCGCTACGCAGCACCCACTCCTGGTGACCTGCTTCCGTGCCGCCCTCTGCTACGAAGAGATAGTAGTACTTGCCCTTTTTCATGATATGCGATCCTTCGGCCACACCAAACTGCGAAGCGCGGATGAGCTGCGGTGGAGTGAGCGTGCGGCCAGACGGCAGATCAATCTCCGAGACGTGGATGGCAAAGTCTTTGAGCTTCAAGCCCGGCGTGCGCTGCGCCATGCGAACCGTGGTCGAGAGGTACACCTTGCCGTCGTCGTCCCAGAAGAGCTGGGGGTTGCGTCAGTCTGCGGTTCTCTCGATCTTTGGGAACAATGAGAGTCACCCACATCTTGGTCGAAACCAGGATTGTCGAAATAGACAGGGTCAGACCACGCGCTGTCGTCCCAAATGTTGTCGGTCCACACGTAGAAGCCGCGGGGGAAGATGCGCTCGTCCACGGCCGGGCGATAGCGGTGAAAGACGCCGTTGGCGAGGTACCACCGTCTCTCCCGCGGACGGTACCGCAGCGTGCTGGCCCAGGAACCGGCGCCGGGCTCGACGGTGCGCATGTCCATCTGGCTGCGGCGGTTGAGGGCGTGGCCGATGAGGGTCCAGTTGATGAGGTCCGTCGACGCGTAGATGGCGGCGCCGGGGAAGAACTCGAACGTCGAGGTCGAGAGGAAGTACGTCGCCGGCGCCGTGTCTGTCGCGGGCACGACGCAGACCGTCGGGTCCGGGTTGAAGCCCGGGATGATCGGGTTCGTGAACGTGGCGGCGCCCTCTGAGGACGTCATGGTTTCGGATGGTCCGACGAGATGGGGCGCGAAGTGGTCGGTGACGGGGTGTAGGCAGTTTCTCCGAAATTCCATTCCCAAGATGATGGAGAGATTGATGGCGGTTGCGATTTATATCAGCCTCAGGGCCGTTTCGTCCGCGTTGATCACAGACCACAGACCCGAATCCGTGGGAGGAAGCGGGTCTTCCCTTTTAGCCGGGCTTCGTGATGAGTTATTCCAGCAATCAGACACGGAGCTTGGCAGCCGAGTGGAGCCCGTTCCCCTCTCCGAGGCCGGCACCCGTGCCGAGGCCGAGACCGCAGGGTCGCAGAGTGTGAAGCCACCACGTGGTATCTCGATGTGGTGCTCGTTCGTGTTCCACTGAGAGGATGACATGACTGCATGATTCAGATGATGCTGCCTGTAGTTGGCAAGTGTCTTCGAGGTCCGTCGACTGCGGGGTAGCCTATCGCTAGACCTGCGGCTGAATTGCGAGGAACGACGAGCACTCAGTGTTACTCCAGGCCCGACTGACATGGCAGTGATATGACGCGTGAGATTGACCGTCACTGCTGAGGGCCTTGTTAGAGAAGCTGCGTCTTGGAGGATGGCGTTATTAAGCAGGTGGCCGTGGGTCAGGAGACGCTACGGAGACACGGCACAGGGGGCTAGTCAGGGTTCAGGACTTCGAGAACGTACCTGTATATAAGGACTCTGAAGGGCCAAAGCTCAGGTGTATCCCGACTATTTGCCTATCATCTATTCCCTGCGGATCACGTGTAGAAGACCTTTTCACTTTGCTCCAAATCAAGCACTAGCAAAACTTGCCCAAGTTTATCATACCACAGAGGCCGGTGACACAATCACGGCCCGTGTTGCTCGCAAGAGAGCCAATGGCTCGGGGTATCGTTTCGCGTCCGACCACCGAAAAGAATCTGAGCTTAAAAGCATAGTGGAGTACTACATCAAGCGTGTTGCAGCGCTCATCGAAGTATGCATCGAGTTGTCTAAGCAGCACAATGGGCACAGCCGTGAGTTATTGTTCATATTTTGCGCAAGACGCGCCAGTGATCCTTGGAGAACCCATCCTCCTCATGCAGCTGGAACAAGTTCATGACCGGGCCAAGCTCTCCCACGACATGTTGGCTGGAGAGAACGCAAGGAACAAATGTGAGTTGGCGATCCAGGCTACAACACACATCTGGGATGGCCGCCGAGCTGACGAAATGATGCAGGCCTCCGAGACTGGGAGACTCTCACCAAAGCCATCCATGCCATGCGGGAGAGCAGCTTCAGGATGGCTATGGATGAGCGCACGCAAGACAGCAACACCGAGATATCGTGTGCTTTGGTGCGAGCTACGTCACTACTCTGGGCGCCTCCTTTTGTACTGTCAGGCTGCCGAGTACATTTACAAAGCACGAAGGATTGGCCTGAGATGTTCAACGGCTTGACCGTGAAATTTATCCCTTCAGACCGTCCGCTCAATCTCTCTCTGCCGAAACCTTATCTCGAGTTAGTCCGGGCGGCGTTCCCCGACATGAACATGGATGAGTACCGGGATCATCTTGAGACACTTCGGGTGTTTGAACTGAACGACAACGTTCTGAAACGACTGCCTCAGAAGTCAATGAAGCTTTTCATGCACTGCGAGGTCCTACAGCACAGCTTTCTTTCCGGAATTGGTACCGTCTGGCTGATGAGTACGGGAACAACTCCATGTTCATCGCGACCAGCAAGCCACCCTGCCGGCCCTGTCACTACTAATTCAGCGACACCGACAACTATTTCCAAGTGCAGCCGTCCGATATGAATGCTTGCCCAAAGTGGCGCCTGCCAACCTCTATGAGGGCCAGGTCAGTGATGCAGTCAAGCTCCGGGAAGAGTTGCTTGACGAAATCATTGAGAAGATGCAGCACGACACCCTGAGCATCTTCAAGCAGAAGTTTCCACAGGGCAAGAGAAACGACTCCCGTACTGATTTGAGAATCATGGAGTCGGTATCGTCGCATTTGGTGGACGTGGGGTGTATGCACGCGCGTGGACACAACTCGGGTCGCTTTTCGGCGGGTTCTACGGGTTATGGCAGGCCGAATGACGACGGCGACTACTGGGTAAACACAAATTGATGTAGGGGTTGCCAGTGTTGGTGATGAATCCACAGATCACCGCTCCAGTGATCACGCATTCCCGCGGCCACGTGATCGAGGAGGCAGTGATCCGTGGATTTACTGAGCGAGCGCTGGAGGCACATAGATCGCTGGTAAGAATACACACATCACACGACTTATACCACCGAACCTATAATTAAGAGCTCTTGGGTACAGCCAAAGCTATGATGAAGGGCTCATGTGAGCGGCGAAGCCCTCTTAACGTTCAGAAAATTCAAACCACTGACTTCATCGCTTCTCCGCCAATCATTCGGCACTTCACGAGAACTCGGCACACCTTGAATAGAATATCAAGTGCCAGAAACGTCGTCTATGGAACTGCACCTTTAGCTAATTTCTAACAAGTATGGTAAGTGTTGAGAGGGCTTCACTGCTTATGTGAACCCCAATTCAGTACTTTGGCTGTGCCTGCGAGCTCTGAATAGGTAGGGTAGGTGATATAAGACTTGTGATGTGATTAATGCTCTCTCTCTGAATTACCACTACCTACGTGAGTCAGATATACCCATCTGATTCACCGATCACGTAAGCCGTGATTCACGTGCTCCTGAGAGCTGTGAATCCCAGCCCTGGTGATCACCGCCCTAGGGAATCCCCTAATCTTGGTTCAACAGTAAGGGAGCCTTGAGCGGGCGATCGGGTTGTTGTTGGTCAGGGCTATGGGGTACAACGGACCTGTATCAGCCCCATGAATCAGGTATCTTCGGTGTCGATCTTGTGCCTTTCATAGAGAAGCAGCGCCCATATCAGCCACACGGTTGACAAACGGGTCCCAGGCAACACGCAGGCCCATTTAGCAAGGTGAAACCTTTTCTTTCTTGTCAGCCTATCATGGAGAGACACCATAATAGCTCTGAAGAAACAAAGGCAAGAGCGGCAGGGAGAGAATGGGGTCGATTAGAACTGGCAATATTGGTCATGTCCACCTCTGGCGAGCAGTTTCGGAGTTTACGGACTGGCCCTGGTAGGAATAAGTGGTAGATCATATACGACCGTAAGCTAAATGGCACCGCAGATATCCGATTGAGCCAACATAATATGCATTAGATTAACAGGTGTATTTGATTGAGCTCCATTCATTGGAGTGTCAGCCCCAGGCCTCTGCATTGACGGTTCTGACCCGTAACAGTAGCAGTCACACTCTAGACTGAACGAAAGAAAACTTCAAGACGCACAGCTCCACGTTGCACCCATGGAGCTGGGGGCGGTTCCGTTCACCCATTTGCCGGCTGGCGCGTGGTTGGCATCACCGTCGACAGACAGGAGGTTCACAGAGCGTATGCTACCAAAGTCCTAGGCCCATCAGTCACTTCGAGTAATGTTTTTGAACGGTTAGCGGTGAAGCTGCAAATTGGAAGCGTCTCAAAGATGGTGTGCTGTTCATTAACGCTATGCCAGAACACAGGTCAGAGTCATGCACGGTCGACCTCACTCCGGAATAGTATTTGGTCGGTTTTTCGTAGCTTCGAAGAGACCAAGAGTCCCTATGAAGCATTCATTTCTATGAAGCATTCATTTGTTACTCAAAATATCAAGATAAGAGCTTGGAGCTACTCCAGGCGTTGCAAAACGAATAAACGCGATAGCATCACCCCCTACCAAAGTATTGACTCGCCCGAGCTGACGTATCACTCATCCAGGTCTCACTTTCCGTCGGCCATGGAGGAACCTGAACGCCATGGGCTCCGTTGAGGCTTATGTGAGCTTTCCAGTAAACGTCAACCTGGTGTGTTCAGGTGCCAACACGTGGTTTGGCTTTCTTGATTACTATCAACTCAGCGTTCCGCGAAGACGCAAGAGCGTAGAGAGAGGAACATCTTCGAGCCCGTCGTTGGTTAGAGCGGGCCCACGATTTACACCGACTGCCCGCTTGCTCCACTGCAATCAGGGATCGTGCCCAACTCCGTGGCCCGGACTCACAAGCCGTCGGCATGTTGCTGTACTGCGAAGCACTAAATTGTTGTACGCTGCGCATTCTTCGAATAGTCCGTGCCCGAGATTTTGATCCTTGTGCTGCACCAGATCAGATCAGCTTTTGCAGTTGAAGCCAATCGTCGGCCCCGAGGTAAGGAGTGGGACTCTTCTGGATGGTCACGCTTGGACCGAACATTGCATGCCGAGATTCAATAGAGGTTGGGTGCATGAGATGGTCGTCTATTTTGATAAAAGAAAACACATTCCTACTTCACGACGCGCTCGCGAAGGTAGCCGGCGACCTTTTGAGGTTGAACGTGTGGTGTTGAATGTCGTGGTGAGGCCTTGGGTGCTTGACCCCATACCTTGTTCTGGGGATGCCAAGACATCCGTCGGTTGAGGTAATATGCACGTATACGAAAGACAAACGTGTCCGAGAAAGGTCGCAGGTGCTGGGAACGGGTGGCTATTTGTTCGAAGTTCGAGGTGCCAAGGGCTCTCGAGGGGAAGGGCGAACGTTGAGGTCAGGGAAAAAATGCCAAGATTCACGGGGTCTTGTTCGGGTCCGGGTGTGGGGCCGAGGACAGGGCTGATTTCTAACCCGTACCGCGCTGGACCCTTCTTTGGCGGGGCGAGCCCCAGTCGGCAAATATTGCTATCGTTCGGTTCCGAGATGCTGTGCTTGTCACAAGCGCCTGAGAGCCATGTCTATGCTTGTTTGTTGACTCAGTGCGGTGATTAGCCCCTTCATCGCTCCCAGTGTGCTTCCTACCCCATTGGTCCTCACTGCAATACGTCACTTTAAACCCCGTTATGCATGTTAGTCCGAGTCCTTTTCTCCCTCTTTCGTTACTGACACCTGGACCGAACAAGGCTTAGCTGATAGACTCGTGCCCGTGCCTGGCCCCGGCTGTCCCGGTCGTGTACTGCGTTCCATGGAGGCCGCGTGCGGGATCGAACAGGAGGCCGTCCGGGGTGGTGAAGCGGAACGACAACGAATCCCGCTATCTCCTGGGAAAAGTGCGATCGAATGCATCAGATTTCTTCTATTGCCCCTTGCATTACATCATACCATGCTTCATACCTATTTGTAAAAGGGAGGAACATCCTTTTCACGTCCCTCGTTGACTTTGGACAAGTCTTTCTTCCAAAGGCCAACTCGCTCGACAATCTCTCAGAGAAAGGCCCAAGGCGGAAGACTTATCTGATACACGGACCAAATCTCAAAAGGATCAGGTGAGGACGATCACTCCGCTGTCAGACATTGTTTGAGGTTTGACCGCGTGGGCCTCATTCCATAAGTTCTCTCATCTGACATCAGTGATCTTTCAGACGCACAACGAACAATACCCTTTGGATCTCACGGGTCTTCCCCAACCACAGCTCACCATGTACTCTGCAGCCCAGGGTGGTGAGGCTTTGGGGGCGGCGCCTCGGTCCCCCAACGGAAGCCAGCAAACCTACGTAAACGAGGCCGACTTGACAAACCACATCGCCTCGGACAACAGCAGGTCATACCTGGACGGCCACGATCTGGGATCCAAGGACAAGAAGGCAGGCAAAGGCGATTCTGGGGACTCGACATCGACGAGTGACGATGACACCGGAAACGAGACGGAGATGGAACGTCGACACTCCATCGTGCAAGACCTTGCCCGTCAGTACACGCAACACTCGATTGTCGACATCCAAGGGAACCCGCAAACCCTTTTCGGAAGCGATGACCCCAACTCGAAACTCAACCCCCGTGGCGAGAAGTTCAGTGCGCGATCATGGGCGAAGACCCTCGCCAAGATGACCACTGAGCAGGGCGCAGGATTCCGACAGGCCGGATTTTGCTATCAGAACATGAACGTCTTCGGCTACGGCAACGAGACGGACTACCAGAAGGACGTCTCCAATGTCTGGCTCGAGGTCTCGGGTCTTGTCAAAAAGCTTACGTCCAAGTCCGGCGGCCAGCGACGTATCGATATTCTGCAAGACTTTGACGGTGTCGTTGAGGCGGGCGAGATGCTTGTCGTCTTGGGCCCTCCCGGTTCAGGATGTTCGACATTCTTGAAGACCATCGCAGGCGAGCTGAATGGCATTCACGTTGACGACCAGGCCTACTTCAACTACCAGGGAATGTCTGCCAGGGAAATGCACAAGCATCACAAGGGCGACGCCATTTACACCGCCGAGGTCGACGTCCATTTCCCTCAGCTGTCTGTCGGACACACTCTCACCTTTGCTTCCCGAGCCAGATGCCCCAACAACCTCCCGCCGGGCATCACACGCAACCAGTACTCCGATCACCTCCGCGACGTTGTGATGGCCATGTACGGAATCAGCCACACCATCAACACGCGCGTAGGTAACGAATACATTCGGGGCGTTTCTGGTGGTGAGCGTAAGCGCGTGTCCATCGCTGAAGCTACCCTCTCGAACGCTCCTTTGCAATGCTGGGACAACTCGACTCGTGGTCTCGATTCGGCCAATGCTGTCGAATTCTGCAAGACCCTGAGGCTGCAGTCGGAACTCTTCGGTCAGACATGTGCTGTGTCGATCTACCAGGCCCCCCAGAGCGCCTATGACTTGTTCGATAAGGTTGCCGTCCTGTACGAAGGCAGGCAGATCTTCTTTGGCTCGACGAAGCGGGCCAAGGAATACTTCGAAAACCTCGGATTCGAGTGCCCAGCGCGCCAGACAGTTCCGGATTTCCTGACATCCATGACCGCTCCTTCGGAACGTGTTGTGCGCCCTGGCTGGGAGTCTCGAGTCCCTCGAAGCCCCGACGACTTTGCGGCGGCTTGGAAAGCCAGCCAGGCGTTCCGTGATCTCCAGGCCCAAATCCAGGAGTACAAGTCCGTCCACCCCGTCGACGGTGTTGATGCAGAGGCCTTCCGCAACATCAAGTCTGCTGTTCAGTCCAAGAACCAACGACTCAAGTCTCCCTTCATTCTGTCGTACCCTCAACAGGTCAAGCTTTGCCTATGGCGCGGGTGGCAGCGTCTCCTGGGTGATCCGTCCTTGACCGTGTTCCAACTCCTCGCCAACTCGATCATGGGTCTGATTATTTCCTCTCTGTTCTACAACATGCCGCAAACGACATCCGCCTTCTACAGCCGTGGCGTTGTCCTCTTCACTGCCATTTTGACCAACGCCTTCTCCAGTGCCCTTGAAATTCTGACTCAATACGCCCAACGACCTATCGTGGAGAAGCATGTGCGCTACGCATTTTATCACGCATCCGCCGAGGCCTACTCGTCTGTCCTGGTGGATATGCCATACAAGATTGCCAACAGCATCGTCTACAATCTGGTCATCTACTTCATGACGAACCTCAACCGCGACCCGGGCGCCTTCTTCTTCTTCCTGCTGGTATCATTCCTGATGGTCCTGACAATGTCCGGAATCTTCCGCTCCATGTAAGTCGCACACTGACCATTATCTTGCTGAAAGCGATCCACTAATCTGTTGTACAGCGCTTCGCTCTCTCGAACCCTGTCCCAGGCAATGGTCCCCGCCTCCATCCTTATCCTGGCTCTCGTCATCTTCACTGGCTTCGTTATTCCTGTCGACTACATGCTGGGTTGGTGCCGCTGGATCAACTACATTGATCCTGTCGGTTACGGCTTCGAGGCCCTCATGATCAACGAGTTCCACAACCGAGACTTTACCTGCAACGCGTTTGTGCCCAGTTCCACCGTGGCGGGCTACGAGGACGTCTCGTCCAGCAATAGGGCCTGTTCCGCAGTCGGTTCCGTACCCGGGTCTGACGTGGTCAACGGCGACACGTATATCCAGGCGGCCTACCGGTACGAGCACAGCCACAAGTGGAGGAACGTCGGCATCCTCATTGCCTTTGCCATTGCCTTCCACGTTCTCTACTTTGTCGCTTCGGAGTACATCTCGGCCAAGAAGTCCAAGGGTGAGGTCCTCGTTTTCCGCCGCGGCGCTCTTCCCACCACCGCCAAGGGCCAGGACGATGTCGAGGGCTCCCTTTCCGGTCCGCTCCCCGTGACCGAGAAGCCCAACGGCAAGTCGGGCGACGGCGTCATCCAGGCTTCCACGAGCGTCTTCCACTGGAACAATGTCTGTTATGACATCAAGATCAAGGGCGAACCCCGCAGGATTCTCGACCACGTAGACGGATGGGTCAAGCCCGGTACCCTCACAGCCCTCATGGGCGTGTCTGGCGCCGGAAAGACGACGCTTCTCGACTGCCTTGCTGATCGTGTATCCATGGGCGTCATCACTGGCGAGATGCTCGTTGACGGCAAGATTCGCGACCAGTCGTTCCAGCGCAAGACGGGCTACGTTCAGCAGCAGGATCTCCATCTCGAAACCACCACTGTCCGCGAAGCCCTGGAGTTCAGCGCCCTGCTGCGCCAGCCCGAGTCGACGCCGCGCGCCGAGAAGCTTGCCTACGTGGACGAAGTCATCAAGCTGCTCGACATGCAGGAGTACGAGGGCGCCGTGGTCGGCGTGCTGGGCGAGGGCCTCAACGTCGAACAGCGGAAGCGTCTGACCATCGGAGTCGAACTCGCCGCGAAGCCACCTCTGCTGCTCTTCGTCGACGAGCCCACATCCGGTCTCGACTCTCAGACGTCGTGGGCTATTCTTGACCTGCTGGAAAAGCTGTCCAAGGCTGGCCAGTCCATCTTGTGTACGATCCATCAGCCCTCGGCCATGCTTTTCCAACGGTTCGATAGACTGCTGTTCCTCGCCAAGGGCGGCAGGACTGTCTATTTCGGTGACATCGGAGAAAACTCAAAGACGCTCACAAACTACTTTGAACGCAACGGCGCTGACCCCTGCCCCCCCGGCGAGAACCCGGCAGAATGGATGCTCTCTGCCATTGGCGCCGCACCCGGATCCGAGACGAACGTCGACTGGCACAAGGCTTGGCGTGACAGCCCCGAATACCAGGGCGTCTCCCGTGAACTCGAGCGTCTCAAGGCCAACGCCTCTCCGGCTGCCACCGACGAGGCCTCCCGGGCAGACGACAAGGCTTCGTTCCGCGAGTTTGCGTCGCCTCTGTGGGGCCAGCTGCTCATCGTCACGCGCCGCGTCTTCGAGCAGTACTGGAGGACGCCGTCGTACATCTACTCCAAGTTCATCCTCTGCTGCTCCGTGGCCCTCTTCATCGGTCTCGTGTTCCTCGACGCCCCCCTGAGTATGCAGGGACTGCAGAACCAAATGTTCGCCATCTTCAACATCTTGACCATTTTCGGCCAGCTCGTCCAGCAACAGATGCCGCACTTTGTCACGCAGCGCGCGCTCTACGAAGTCAGGGAACGGCCGTCCAAGACGTACAGCTGGAAGGTGTTCATGCTCTCCCAGATCATCGTCGAGATCCCCTGGAACTCGCTCATGTCCGTCTTCATGTTCATCTGCGTCTACTACCCCGTCGGCCTGTACAAGAACGCCGAGGCGGCCGGCCAGACGACGGAGCGCGGCGGCCTCATGTGGCTGCTGTTCTGGCAGTTCCTCATCTTCACCTGCACGTTCGCGCACGCCTGCATCGCCATCACGGACACGGCCGAGGCGGGCGGCAACCTGGCCAACGTGCTCTTCATGATGTGCCTCATCTTCTGCGGTGTGCTGGCCTCGCCCGACGCCATGCCCCGCTTCTGGATCTTTATGTACCGCGTCTCGCCCTTCTCCTACCTCGTGTCAGCCATGCTGTCGACGGGCCTCGCCAACACGCGCGTCACCTGCTCCGACGTCGAGCTCGTCAGCTTTGACCCGCCAGGCAACCAGACGTGCGGCGCCTACCTGAGTGACTACATCAGCTCTGCGGGCGGTTACCTCACGGACCCCTCTGCCCAGTCCGACTGCAACTACTGCCCCATCGCCGACACCAACGTCTTCCTCGACGCCGTCAGCGCGTCATATGACAACCGATGGCGCGACTTTGGCATCGGCATGGTGTACATCGCCTTCAACATTGCCGCGTCGCTGGCTCTCTACTGGCTCGTCCGCATGCCCAAGGGCAAGAAGAAGGCCTCGAGCTGAAGCCATGGCTGATGCTGCCTGGAGCTGGACGTGAATCGTGGTCGCTGCCATGTGGTCTTTACCCTGTGGTCCAATCTATTCTTGCTTTTCCCGCCCACGCTGGGGTGACTGCCCATTCATTCTAGATTGATCTCTCTTATCTCGGTTGCCCCGTTTTGTTTCGTTTTCTTACGTCCATTCTTCATTGCTTGCGCTGGCTCCTGCGATTCGTCACTCTGCATTAGAACTTTTCCCTGTACTAATAGACTATACACCCAAATACGAAACCGGTTGGCTGGGATTTGACAAGATGCGACGTGCATGCTGTGGCGCTTTAATGGTTGCCGGCCCCTGGATGTTTCTGAACATGTTCCGGTGACCACGCTCCTGGGACTCCAAACGGTGAAGCTAACCTAATCGTCAGACCTGAGGGGGACAAGAACAAGAGGTAGCGAAAACCTGATTTCTCCAACGCCTGGGGCGGCTGATCCCTTCCCCTCCCCCCACCGGGCGTTCGATCATCAACGGCAAATTCCATTTCTCTTTGTAGAGCGAGACAGAGCTGAAAAGGGTAAGCTGAACTGGGCAGAGATTAGACCTGAAAGAACATCAACCCCTCAGCTGATGCACCAAACCGAGCATCATCCCCAGGACACGGAGCGGTTCCTGACTCGGTCTCGCCGGGTCCCCGACTGGCGACTCCACGATGCAAATATCCAGGGCCCATGACCGGGTGGCGCCCAAGCTGAACATGGCAGCGACATGGGAAATGGCAATGGATAAACCTCGCACAGCCCAACTCTTCTGACCCCATCGGAAGAGCTCAGTTTCACCGTCGCAAGCAAAGAAGCCCGTACATGTAACGACCCCAAGGAACAATCATATGGCGGAATCATCCTTGACCCCAAAGCGACGGCCTCGAGTGCAAAAGTCGTGCACCGAGTGTCAACGGCGAAAGCAAAAGGTACGTATGGGGATATCATTTCCGGGCCGGCGCCGAGTTTCGGTGGGGAGACCGGGGGTCCGGTCTAGTTGCTCGTGATTCGTGATACACAGACAACGGAAAAACTGACGGCCTGGTGGCAGTGCATCATTCGGAACGACGGCGTGCCGTGCGCCAATTGCTCGCGCCGGTTCCCGCCTGTAGAATGCACTGTTCTCCGTGTTGATGCCCCTGATGGCGAAAATCGAGCCCCCAAGTACGAAGAGCAAGTCGTCAGTCTCGGGGTCCCGGTGAGCATAGTCTCGTCGGCTGGTGGTCGGCACGTCAATTATGTCCCGGCAGGCACAAGCGTTATTCGAACCAGGCGCGTGAAACCCATGGCGAAAGTCAAGGCAAGGGTCATTGCTTGGCCCGATAGTACTGATGGCTCAACGGATGATGCATGTGACGAGAGGACTATCATTGGGAGATCATCGGAACAGCACTCGGAGACTCTCTATCTCGACGGGACAGGCGATCCAGACGCCATGGTCCACATCCGACCCTTCGGCGGCATCTTGACTGAGGTGTGCACTCTCAATGGATTGCGAATCAAGCAGAGTGCCAGACACTCGGAGCTCTTACATTTCTGTGAGTGTTACCTTGCCGATGGTTGGGCATAAGTCTAACACCAGGGCAAGATGTCCAGATTGTTGCGCCAAATCTCGTGTCCATCGACGGGCAAAGTCAGCCCAAATTGTTCCTGACAGAGGTTCTGCCGTGGATGTTGCAGTCGCCCTTGTTTCCTAGCATCGGCATGCTCATGGCGTCAACTACGCAGTCGCTCGAGAAGGGTGTCGAGGTGACGCGCAACTCCGAGTCGCTGGCGATCAAAGCCAGGGTCCTCACTGGCATCAATGAGATGCTCAAGGGTGACTTTGGCTCGGTTGCCCAGGAGGTCATCCGTTCGGTCATCAATCTTTGCGTCATGGAGGTAGGTGCTTCGAGTAAGCCAGAGCGATATATAGCTGGGGTGTTGACCTCGCCGTACAGTGGTTTTGGGGCGCCGATGACAGCATGTGGGCGCATCTAAGAGGCATGAAGCACATGATTAACCTCCGGAGCGGCTTGCGGGGTATCAAAGACATTGTGGGAGAGTCCATAATCATCCTGTATGTGGCATGACGTTTCTCAGAGTCGAGACAGACTGACTGACGACAAGGACAGGACCGATTACGAGATATCGTGCTGCTTCGAGACGGAGCTCTACCTCCAGAGCAACGATCCAGTATTGCTGGAGGAGATCCCCATTCCAACGTCGTGGCCAGACGGATTTGACTGTCCGCTGATCAGATCGAATGTTTCGTTTGATGGCGTTAGGGCTAAGCTGGGATTAACAGAAGCTGGAGCTAGGATCCTGGACGATGTCCGCTTCCTGACTACTTCAATCACAGAGGCCGACGGCGGACCCGCCAGTATTCGCAAGATCCAGAGCACAGCCTCGTGGATTTACAGCCGGCTCAGCAATATTTCAGGCAAAGAGGGCGGCCAAGGTGAGAAGGAGACGGAGGTGGCGGATGTTGCTGATATGGCATCCGAGGCGGAGCGTATTGAAGAGGCGGTGCGGCTGGCCGGGCTGATCTACAGCTGGTCCATCTCGTCGATGGCTCAGATATCGCAGTTTAAGGACGGCAAAACGCTAGAGCGGGCTTACAAGGCCATGAGGGCGGTTAACCTTACGCGATGGAAGGACATGCCAGGAATCTTCCTCTGGATCATGCTCGTGGCGGCGCCGAGCACCAAGCAAGATACCAGGGGGAGGTTCATCCGGCGGAAGATGGCGGTGGCGGGGCTCTCGATCGGATTCGAGAGCTTCGGGGTGGGGATATCGTATCTGCGGGCGTTCTGGCTGGTCCAGAGGTGGATTGCGCGACAGGGGAAACCGGCTGCAGACAGCTTGACGTGACAGAGTACTGGGTTCGAAAGTGGTGCTGTATCAGGCAAAGATCAGATCATAGAGGCGTGCTGCGAGTGGTCATGAGGTGTGAAGAGACATGAAGACGCGTCAGGAAAGACGTTCGAGACCGTCAGCGAGCCCAGGGCAGCGGACGGAAGGTGGAGGCGGTGGGTAATGGTCGGGATGCCGAGCTTGGGCTTTGGGCTTGGAGGTTTGTTGAGATGGGAAGAGAATGGGAGATTCTGGGAGAGTTTGGGCAAAGGCAGAGTGCCATGTCGCGGAAGGCCAGATTGGGAAAGCCGATGGAACCTGGGGCAGTCAGTGGGGGGTCCCCTGTATTTCCGAATTCTTACAGTGATCTCCAGTGGTGCAGTGGTACGCGGTGCTCCACTGTAGCACGCGGGGAAGGAGCCCCGCACACCCGTTGGTCCTGCCGCTGCAACACGAAGCCCCACTGGAGCGGTCTCGGCCACTTGGTTCTTTCTCCCTCTAATGTTCTCCATCTCTCTGTCTCCATGTCACATTGATCTGACTTGAACACACATCAGAATTGACTTCTCCATCTTGGGCTCTTCCTCCACTGAATCGACAACGGAATCTTCCACAATTGGAAAAAAGAGCTTGCGCTTCACAAGGCGAGACCCTGAGTGCAGGATCCGCTTTTTTTTGGGCTGCTCTTGATTTGTTGGCCGTCTGTCGTGGTAATCGCTGATCACGCCCCTAGCAGAACCATGCTGCTTGCAGCCAACAGTGTCCTGCACACTACCTCAGATGTTGCCAGAACCCTAGTTCCATGAGAACCCCAGTTCCACCAAGGAACATGGGGTTCACACCAGACTCGCATCAAGAAACCGACTCTCGAAAGGATTCGCTGTCCAAGAGGCCTGACGATGGAGTACATCATCCTTCCCTCAGCACGTGTGCACATGACAACATGGCATCTCTGATCTGGAAAGGAGCTGCGATCTCTGGCACCATCAGCAATACAAACCATGCTCGTCACTGACCACGGAGAATCCCCCAGCCTACCTAAGGTAACTTGGGTTCCAAGATTCAAGCTCCGTCTCCATAGGCATGCGCAAGCGCCAATGCGCCCCCAGAACCACGCACCAGGAGCACTTCACCCGGGGTACACATAAGCTTTATCGCCCCTTTCGGTCTGCTGGAGGTACGACAAGGTACTTTGCCTGACGGACTCCGACCTAGCAAATGCTCGTAGCTCTACAGAATCGAAACCTAGCCCCCACGATGTCGCCCGCCACATAGACCGCCGGCCGCCGGACGTCGCGGGAGCCCTAGCTGCTAGCGGCACAAGACAGCTCCAGCTCAAGTCGCCATGCCCCATCTTGGCATCCCTTGCCTTAGTGAATGCTGGTCGGGAAGCTCAGATGAGCTGTCCCGGCCAAGGTGGCACGGCATGGAACATGGAACACTTCGTCGACCTAGACACTCATGGTAGCTCCGACCTTCCTTCCCCTCCACCGCTCACCAGCGCAACACAACCTCAACAAAGCGGAGAGCATCGTCGGCACACCATATCAGTCTGCACTTCTTCTCACAATATACCTTTCCATTATAAATTCGCCTTCTCCTGTGTTCATCTGCCATCATGTCTCGCCATCTACTACCTTACGCCAGACTACCATCGCGACTGCTTCGTGTACAGACCCCCGCACTTGTCACAGCACCCCAGCGCATCATCAAGACTCCCTTTGCCTCTGCTCGAGCGGCTCGGCCCTTTCACCAGTCCATCAAGCCTCGCCAATCGAACGCAATGGGTTCCGTTTCTCACCAGCCTACTCGGCTACCCGAGTTCAGCCTCCAGAACAAGGTCATCATCGTCTCTGGCGCTGCACGAGGCCTTGGTCTGACCCAAGCAGAAGCCCTCCTCGAGGCCGGCGCGATAGGTGAGTTTCTGACCAGCTTCTCAACAGCGGTCACACTGAGCTCCTGCTGATTGCTTTAGTTCACGCCATTGACCGTCTGCCTGAGCCCGACTCGTACTTCCACAAGGTGGCCAACCGCGCCAAGAGTGAGCTGGGCACCACACTGACGTACCACCGCGCCGACGTTCGTGATGTCGACAATCTCAATGCCCTCATCGAGGGCATCGCCAACGAGCATGGCCGCGTCGACGGCCTCATCGCCGCCGCCGGCATCCAGCAGGAGACGCCCGCCCTCGAGTACAAGGCCGAAGATGTCGATCGCATGATGGGCGTCAACGTCACCGGCGTCTTCATGACGGCCCAGGCCGTCGCCCGCCAGATGGTCCGCCTGCGTTGCAAAGGCAGCATCGTCCTCATCGCCAGCATGAGCGGTACCGTCGCCAACCGCGGTCTCATCTGCCCGTACGTTTCTGCCCCTGCACAAACCCTGCCTAATCCATGACAAGACAGACAGCGAACTGACCATGTTCCAGCGCCTACAATGCCTCCAAGGCTGCCGTCATCCAGCTCGCCCGCAACCTCGCGTCCGAATGGGGCGAGCACAACATCCGCGTCAACACCATTTCTCCAGGCTACATCGTCACAGCCATGGTCGAGGCCCTCTTCGAGACGTACCCCGAGCGCCGCGACGAGTGGCCCAAGCACAACATGCTTGGCCGCCTCAGCGCCCCTGAGGAGTACCGCGGTGCCGCCGTCTTCCTGCTCAGCGATGCCAGCAGCTTCATGACGGCGCCGATCTGCGAATGG